GCTGCAGCTAGAGCGAATTTTGATAATTTTGCTGCTTGGTAATATTTAACAGAGCATAATGAAGTAGGAAGTAGAAGTAAAAATGATAACGCAATATCAGAAAATAATGAGCAGATTAAAAAGAAAACAAAGGCGGATGGGGGAAGGGAAGGAGTGGGGGAAGGCTTCAGAGTATATTTGAAAGGATTCAAGCAGTGATAAATCCTTTTCTGATTTATATCCCATACCGCACTAATAATTTATTACTTTCGTGTCACTTGTCGCTTTTTCGCTTTTAAGAATTGTAGTGCCGCTATCCCAGCCGGAATGAAAAAATGTTATTAGAAAGCAATGTATACCAGAACAAAAACTTCAGTGATCATCTAGTAAGAATGAGAGATAACAAATGGACAGAGTGAACTGCTGAAAAGTGCTTGCACATAGTTATGCGAAGATCTGTAAAGCCATTAAATGAGTTTTTTGCCCTTTGCATGAACGTACAAAATTATGTTCACAGTTTGGAACTGTTCAAAGTACTATGGCAAGTACCATAGTGTCAAGAGAAAGAAACTGTTCGTTCTGATGACACCTAACAGAAGTGGCTTGTCCAGCGAATTGTACCTGTGAGATAGGAAGTGACCACTGAAAAGACCATGCAGGTCTGTAGTGAATACGAATGGTCCGGACGGATGTAAGTGCTTCCAGGAAAAATTCCTGCTCCGCAGGGTTATTTGAAACTGTAGGCAAATGCGCAAGGCAATTTACCACCGGCTAGTCGAATTTTGAGCTTAAAGGACACAAAGATCGAGAGAACTTGGCGAATTTGATAAAATTTATCAAAGCAACGCAACGACAAAAATGATAAAGATTCAAAAAGTTAAAAGGGAAAGACCGATAAATACCGTAAAAATTTACCGTAATAATCTCGCCCCAGTTACCAATACCAGAATCATGTAGCGTACGATGCTTTACATGTGGAGCCAGTGAATAACTCGGCTCAATCTGAAAACAACCATGTGTAATGCGACAACGCGAGAAAAATTCAATGGGCAGAACATGTTTTTAGAGGGGAACTTTTAGAGAGTTGCAAAATGCGATATGTGCAGTAAATGTCAGCGAATCAACAAAACCTGCTAAAAATCGCGCGCAAGAAAAATGAGTAGGAAATGAAAAGATCGAAAAAACACTTAGCAAACATTTACTTACTTAATGTTTAAAAAAATACAGAAAAGGAATAAAGGAAGAAGCCACTGACAGCCCTGTCAGCGGGCGATTTACTGTCAGCAGTGTGGTTCCACCCGGTCAGTTCCGAGTATTCCCCTTTTTCCACAGAAAAAGTGAAACAGAATGACTGCAAAGCAATTCTGAAGCTATTTCGTTCGTACACAAAATATAAGTGTTTTTCAGTTCCACATTGTCTGGATTATGAGTTATAGGACATGTGCCATTTGTTAGCTCAATATGTAGCCTCTGGCTGGAAAATGTGGAAATCAACCAAAAAAAAAAAATACAAGACTAACTAATTTGATAATGGTTTCGTGAAAAATCCGCCTCAACGAGAGTGTGTACAAAATATCTGTCAGCTTGCCATTGTCATCGGTTTGAAAAACGGGTATGCGATGGACATGATTCAGACACACCAAACGAGCCGCATCCCAGACACTGGAAAGAAGCTTGCAATCAAAATCCATGCAACTTATTTGAGTAAAATATTGAATTTCAGCCAAAGGAAATGTTTTCACCGGGACGCGCAACGTATCCTGAATTTTGCTGAAGGCAAAGAGTGTTTTTCATTAATTTTAAAGTAATAAGACCAGAAAAAAACATGTTAGATGCCTAAAACTTTTAAAAAAGATGCACAAAAATAACCTTTCGCTCCCGATTGGCAATACAGACAGATATGTTAAAAGATTTTTTTTTTTTTTTTTTTCAACGAATCAACCATATTTATCCGGAACACATTTTAGAATTCCAAAAATTGAAGACAAAGCTTAATCTTCTGACGGATAAGCATATTATGGAAAAACTGACGACATATTGATGGTTGCAGCGATGAGCTTCTTTTTACCGTAAACTTTGATAAAATCGCGAATTGAACGATCGCCAATTGCTGGATCAATGCTACTGGCAACAACAACTGCCCGAAGGCAATCGGTGACCGTGATCATACCAATTGGACTTCTCGCACTTGAACTGATTACCAGCGCGGCTCCATGCCCCGTCTGGTGTAATGCTAACAACGATTTACGCATCTGGAATTTTTTTAAATAATGACTTTGAAGGAAGAATGCTATTCCGAGCAGCCTGCTAGGTCAAAATTAGGCACTGGCACAAAAATTCTGGAAAAAATAAATGCCGCACAACAAAGAAACAAAACCGTACAGATAAATCACCGTCGATTAGCAGGGCTGATCCATGATTTGGCGCAAGATCGTAGCAAAGCAATGACTGCATGTACTGCCTATAAGGATCCGTATTCCTATCTGCAACGCAAACATGCCCACATCACTTCTTCAATACAAAAAAAATCTGCGGTATTATAACCACAAAACGAAACGGTGTGCGATGTTAAGACACCGTTGCTCGCTACAAGAAATTAATGTCGCTAGAAGAAGCTAATGGAAGTTTAAGAGAAGCAGAACTTGAAAAAATGCAGGACGGAACTGCTGCTACACCATCCCACAACGG